TACAGCAGAGAAACGGTGGCAGCTCAGGTAAGACAAAAGGTCATAAGACACACGCACAAGTCAAGCGGGAGCCGGGGCTGTGCAAGCTCAGTCCTGTCTCTCTTTCTCTTGCTCTCTCTTTAACAGAACTTTTCAGGTAAACAAAAGCAAAAGAACAAATAAAAATGGCCAAGGAAGAGCGGAGCCACAGCAGCTCTTCAACAAGAATCCTCACACAGTGATAAAAACCCGCCCCTGCCATATGGCCCAGTGTAGCTTGCCATGTGGGAACGGCGGCAACCATGCCTCGTTCCAAAATTAGCACTTAAAGAAGAGTAATTGCTCCAATTAGAAGCTACCCAATTTGAAAGGAAGGCAAAATATTAAATCACAAACAATTCCAGGTTCTACAAACCGTGCGGAGGCCAACCTTGTGCTACTGGTTAGGCACGTATAAATGTAATTACCATTCTGAGAGAACAAGCATGGGTCCACGCTCCCAAAGGGCCAAAGAGAATTTTATTACAGAAGAAAGTAGAAACAAAAGGATAGGATGCCCATAAGGCAACAAGAAGCAGAAATACCCCCCCGGGGGGGGGGCTATTTGCTTTACTTGCTCTGTTTACACCCTGCCTATCTCCCCAATGGGATTCAAAGTGGCTTACATCATTCTTCTCTCCTCCATTTTATCCTCACAGCAACCCCGTGAGGTAGGTTAAGCTCAGAACGTGTGATTCTGGCAAGATCCCATGACAGGGTGGGGATTCAAATCTGATCCGACATTCTACTCGCCAAACCACACTGGTCCTCTATTGGTGCCCTGCATTTGAGGGAGCAAATCGACGCCCTGGAGGTCCCTTCCCACTACTGCAAATTCACACAGCTTTGAATATCCCACTTATCTGGTACAGGTTTTTTGGACTTACAACCAAGCCAATGGAAGACACGGACTTTGCAACCAATAAAGACACCCTTCTGATTGGCGACACGGAACCAGTCGGAAATCGGGGCTCCGAAGCGGGGGATTCCCCGCCACCCGGGCCCATTTGGCAACCCTAGAAAAAGAGCAGTTTCTGTCAAGAGCTCTCTCAGCCCGACCTACCTCACAGGGTGTCTGTTGTGGGGAGGGGAAGCGAAAGTAGTTTGTAAGCTACTCTGAGACTCTGGGGGAAGGGTGGGAGATAAATGCAATCTCTTCTTCCAGACCAACAAAGTTTTATTCAAGGTATGAGCTTTTGTGTGCACACACACTTAATACATTGGAAGGAAGGTAAGGTTCAAACTTACAGAGGGAGCTGAACAGCCAATTAACATGCAACATGATGAAGATGTTTTAAGATATCCAAGACAAAACTAAACAACAAGATAAGGTTATAAGGTCAACAAGACAGAGACTCTCCATTCACTTCTCCCAGGCGTGGAGGTCACTTAAAAACTAGGCTTCAGCAGAACATGGATAGAGAACTGCCAGAAGTACAAGCTGGGTTTCAGAGAGGGACAGGAACTAGAGATCAAATTGCCAACATTCGCTGGATTATGGAGAAAACAAGGGAGTACCAGAAAAACATCTATTTTTGCTTCATTGACTACACTAAAGCCTTTGATTGTGTGGATCACAACAAACTGTGGCAAGTCCTTAAAGAGACGGGAGTACCAGACCACCGCACATGTCTCCTGAGAAACCTATAGGAAAAGGAGTATGACAAGGATGTATATTGTCACCCTGCTTATTTAGTTTATATGCAGAGTGGATGAATCACAAGCTGGAATTAAGATTGCTGGGAAAAACATCAACAACCTCAGATATGCAGACGATACCACTCTAATGGCAGAAAGTGAAGAGGACCTCAAGAGCCTCTCGCTAAGAGTGACAGAGGAGAGCACAAAGGTTGGCTTGAAACCCAACATCATGGCATCTGGCCTCAACACTCCTTGGCAAATAGAAGGGGAAGTAACGGAAGCAGTGACAGAATTCACGTTCTTGGGATCCAAGATCACTGCAGATGGTGACTGTAGCCATGAAATTAAAAGACGCCTGCTCCTTGGGAGGAAAGCTATGCAGGGTAATAAATAGTAGAGACATCACCCTGCCAACAAAAGTCTGTATGGTCAAAGCAATGGTATTCCCAGTAGTAATATATGACTGAGAGTTGGACCATAAGGAAGGCCGAGTGCCGAAGAATAGATGCTTTCGAATAATGGTGCTGGAGAAGACTCTTGAGAGTCCTCCCTTGGACTGCAAGGAGATTAAATCAGTCAATCCTAAAATAAATCAACCCTGACTGTTCCCTGGAAGGCCAGATACTGAAGCTGAAGCTCAAATACTTTGGCCACCAAATGAGAAGGGAGCACTCACTGGAGAAGACCCTGATGCTGGGAAAGATGGAAGGTCAAAGAAGAAAAGGACAGCAAAGGATTAGATGGTTAGACAGTGTTATCAATGCAACGAAGATGAAGCTGAGCAGACTCCGGAGGGAGGTGGAGGACAGGAGGGCCTGGCGTGATGTGGTCCATGAGCTCGCGAAGAGTCGGACTCGACTGGCTGACTGAACAACAAAAATAGTGTTATTTCAGCCAAACATTCCAATATGTTTATTGGAAAGTGTGTGTTTATTAGGAGCAAAGCTAACATCCAAACGATCAAATCCCCAACTGCCTTTTTAAACTTGGCATCTGAATCACACCAGCCTCTGAGCCCACTCTGCCATGCCTTTCATGGGTGCCAAGTCTGAGGGATGTCCCATCCAGCGGGGTCAAATATCCGCCTCTGCTCATTTTCCAGGCATGAATTTCACTTGCATTTATCTGGGGCCAGTTCCCCTAAAACTGGCCAGGGAGAATCTCAGGAGTGAGAAGCCCCCTGCTGGAAATCTCCACCTACCTGGATGTCAGGGGAGGGGTTATAGCCCAGAATCCTTCCCCCAGTTGAAATTGATGGCAAATGAGAAATCAAAGCACAGCAACCAGAAAAACAGATGTTTCAAACATAAAACCAGAAAAGGAAGACAGAAGGATGCCCCTTCATCATTGCCCCAGATAGCCACCATCCCCTCAGCTTTTGGGACTGAGCCCCTCAATTCCTCCTCTCTCCTTGTGCCAGGGTTGCCAGCTCTAGGTGGGGAAACACCTGCAGATTCTGGGGGCGGAGCTCAAGGAGGGCGGGGCTTGGTGGCGAGGGACTTTAATGGAGTCTGATGCCACAGAGTCCACCTTCCAAAGCAGCCATTTCCTGCAGGGGAACTGATCTCTGCTGCCTGGAGATTAGTTGTAATCCATGGAGATCGCCAGCCACCACCCGGAGGCTGAACTTCATAGGAAAACAACCGTGATATGATAATGAAGTCACGTTTAGGGGGAAATATATCTTCTTTAATTATCCAGTGAGTAACAAACCATTAAAGTTGTTTCCTTTGAAATAAATTGGTCTCAAATCTTTTCTGACAGTACAGCGCTCGATAGACCGTTTCACTCAAGGTTTCATCAGATCAGACCTTACAGTAGAAAATATACAAAAATAAAATCTTCACCACTTTTGGTCTGCATGCACCCAAAACAGAGTTCAGATTAAGTCCAGCCTGCCCTGTGATCTCTTGTCCTTGACACCCCCTGGAGGCTAGCAACCCTAACCCTGTGTCCGTACATCAGTGCCTATTCTACCACTGGCAGGTCAGATGGTAGCCGGCATGTGCCTCAATGTGGTCATTTCCTGCCCCAGGTGAGCAAGGCACAGAGCTGGAGAAGAAATGTGCCAATGCTCAGGCTCTAGCCAATCTATCACCAAGCCATCCAAAGCACATCTTCGTAAACACTTCTAACCAATGAAAGATGTTGAGTGGCTTTCAAGAGTCTTGATAAAAAGCATCCCTAGGTTAGTGCCATCCTGCTGATCCACATTACAATCCTCACTGGCAGGATCTCTTTCCTCCTCCGAATGTAGTCAAAGTTAAAGGTTGCAGCTAATCAAAAAGTGGATCAGCTGATCAGGAAGAGCAGAGAGAACTCCCTTTTATAGCAACCAGTTAAGTTCTGCATTCTTTGTACAATTCCCTTTTTTTATTAAGCAAATACTCTTCAGCAATGTTCTTATCTTACTAATTATTTTAAAAAAGCAAAATGCCCACTCACACACACAGAGCTTCACATCCCATTTTGTTGTTTTATGTTCCCTACTTTAGACACCTCGAGTACCCTTCATAGCAACAACTACACTGTTAATTCTCCGTTATGACCAACACCGTCAATGTGCACAGCAATAAATTCGTAAATAGGGGATAAAGGGACACAGATTATTGGATTAGTGGAGGAATGCCAAACTTGAAAGTTAATTTTGGACCCTGGGGTTGGTTCCAGAGAGAGGACAAACCCCTTTTGATCTTCCTTCCCCACAGCTATGACTAGAACTGTGGGGCCCCAAGAAAAAAAACCAGGAGAGGACAGGGGCGGGGGGGGGGGGGGGGGGGGAATCAAGCAAGATAATCATTTCTCCCACTTGCTCCAGTGGAAAAGCCGGCAGCACTTAACCACCAATTGTTTTGCCCCATGGAAGGCCATGTGCCACCCCAACCCCATACAGCAAAAAAGATTCAATAACTATCTACAAGTTTTTATCCCACCCTTCCTCCAAAAGGCTTAGTATGGCATATTGCTCTCCCTCACTCTCCCTTCACATTTCCCCCTCTAACAACCACCTTGTGAAATTAGTCAGGCTGAAGAGCACACAGGTGATTTCAAAAACGCTGGGTAGTTTTGGACCAGATTGGGAGATTCGAACTCGAGTCCTCCCCCACCAAATCTTACTCCAGCACTCTAACTACTACACCACACTGGCTCTCGCCATCACTCTCTCCCCCAGATCTCGCCTTGACAGTTTTATTTCTTAAGCCGTAGAACCAGTTTCTGATGCTGTTCGCTAACATACAGACAGAAAGTGTCAAACTGAGAACAGCTTAATACCTAAACACATTATTACAAAAAAAAACAAAGCTCAGGGACAAATTTAGAAAAGCCAGAAGTCAACTTACTTCCCCATCCAAACTGCATAGCTTTCCGGGAGCCTCGGGATAAAGAGAATGGAATCTCCAGTGTCAACCTCAACTGCTCCGTAGCAGTCCGCCTCAGTCACTCCGAAGGTCCAATGAAAGTACGATTCCTAGATGGAGAAAGAAAGTGGCATTTCATCTCTCTCTAGTTACTGGCTGTTCCCAAATACCATTAAAAAGACAACAATCAAAAACCAACATAGAACATGGAGCCGCTGGAAAGGAACCAAGCCCAACCACAAACACAGCTGCATGGTGCAAACAATCTACCAGCCTTAGTAAACTCAAAAAGGACACAAGGCTTTCTGTAGTTTTCAGGCAGCGGCACAAATATACACGCAAACTTTCCAAATAACCGAATGGAACGTTTCAGACCACCAGCACTTCTAAAGACCACCAGGTGAGACGCTGGAACAACCAGTCTATAAGGAGAACTGAAAACAAGGACTTTTATGGGACTACAGGGCTTCTTAGAAATGCTTTACAGAAAGGGAAGTGATAGACCCAAATAGCTGCCAGGAATCCAAGTGCAAGCCATGTGCAAATTTATGCCAGTGTGCTAAAGCAATAGCACATGTTGCTCTTGTGTATTTTTGTGTGTGCCACTTCCCAATATGGGACTCATAACAACCAGCATTTGAGAAGAAGAAGAGATTGGATTTATACCCCACCCTTCACTACCCAAAGGAGTCTCAGAGTGGCTTACAAACTCCTTTCCCTTCCCCTCCCCACAACAGACACCCTGTGAGGTAGGTGGGGCTGAGAGAGCTCTGACAGAAACTGCCCTTTTTCCAAGAACAGCTGTGCCAGAACTACGCCTTGCCCAAGGTCATCCAGCCAGGTGCAAGTGGAAGAGTAGGGAATCAAACCCGGTTCTCCCAGATTAGAGTCCACGCACTTAACCACTACGCCAAACTGGGCTGCAGAAACTTTCTGGATTCTTCATCAACCTGTCAATTACCAGTAACCTTGAACTGCATATTTTTAGGCTCTCTCATGCCGGCTCCTGGTTGAGCTCTTGCTTTGAATTTTGACATGATTTTTTTACTAGAAAAAGGCTGCAGACCCCTGGCCTAGGGGACACTCCCAATTCTACACACCCCCCCCAATACAAAAAGCTTCATTGGGATATGTCAAACACAGCATCTTGACCAGATCCTCTCTGCTCCTTCTCTCTCTGGAGGTCGCTCTTTCTGACCTGAGAGACGCCAGTTTCTCCAAGGGAAAAAGGCAACCTCTCAGTCACGTTTGAGGTCTTTGGAGTTGCCTTAGCAACCAGCAGCCTCCTAGTGGCCCTCAGCCAACACCCACAACCAGCAGCTCCTGAAGTTGTGGCTGGGGGACACTGGTGCCTCCTAGGCCAGGTGACACAAAGGTGTTGTATTGACAAGGCTGACCAAGGTGCCGTGGCCTCAGCGGAGTGGCTGCCCTTGGTGAGATCAGACTCAGCCAAGAGCTGCCAAAGGGGCTACGGCAACCGCAATGTCCGGGCTTCACCCCGAGAGGCACTGATTTCAGGCCAAAGTGTTGGCACTTCCGTCTCCGGCTTCACAGAAAGGGCCATGGCTCAATGGAAGAGCCTCTACTTGGTACACAGAAGGTCTCCAGTTTAGTCCCCAGCATCTCTAGTTGAAGGATTTGGTAGCAGATGATGTGAGAGACCTCTGCCTGACATCTTGGAGAGCAGCTGCCAGTCAGAGTAGACAATACTGACACTGATGGACCAAGGGTCTGATGCAATATTAGGCAGCCTCACCTGTGTTCATCGGTGAGCGAAGCAGTTTATGGAGTGGCTCACATTCAGGGGCAACGTGTGCCCAGGCATATAAAACATATAAAAACAACATGAAACAATCCATATTACAATTAAAGTGCTTTCTTCTGCCCATTTTGAAGCTCATCCAGCCATTTCCACCACTGCGGAAACAGGCACACCCTTGAACACATCCACCGAGAATAAGGTTTGGAGAAACACCGAAATAACAAACCTCATCACTGCTTCTAAGGAGCGAAAAAGAGTTTCATCTCTAGCACTTCCAGCTGCCCCTGCCATATTGTAAAGGACAAAATGAAATAGACTGTTGAGAATTTTCTAATCATTGGACCACTTATTACAGTTTTTAAAAGGGGTTGCCGTGAATTCAAAGGGATCAGTGCTATAGGTCGGGGGGGGGGGGAACCTGTTATGTTCTGTGAGAAACTGCCATGTTTGAGCAAAGGATTTTTTCCAAGCTCCCCGGGCTTGTCTTTTGAGGGGGGGACCCAGGTGGCAGGCAAAAGAAATCCCCCAGTGGAGTAGATGTACGTCAAAGCCTCTTTGTTAATCACAGATTCATAGAGTTGGAAGGGGCCATACAGACCATCTAGCCCATCCCCTGCTCAATGTAGAATCACTGAGACACGAATGTATCTGGTTTGAGTGCCTCATGGGAAAAGGGGGGGGGGGACAAACTGCTGCTGCAGGAATGAAAGAACATGGAATGGTGCAAAGGTTCTGTAGGACTGAAGTTTGAATTGATTAGTGTAGTTACAACAAAAATAATTACTGGCTTATGCTACAACAGAGGCCACAGACGAACTGAGCACGTGCGGCAATTTGTCAATTCAATGGGGGAGGGCCAGCAAAAAGCCCAGGTGAACCCCACACAGTTTCAAAAAACCGAATGGGTGAGTAGATGAATGGATACCTGCTCTTAAAAGCGGGGGGGGCACCCTTCCTTCCCATCGTGGTGGCGTGGCTGTGATTGAGGAATGGAGAGACGGCGGCGGAGAAACATGGCAGCAGCAGCAACGGCAGCGAGGCGAGCGGCTCAAGCGGATATTGGGCCGCGAAGCATGGCGGCGGGGCAATGCAGCAGGCCAGAGCCAATTGGGACAGAGGCCGGCTGCGGTAGCACACGCCGTCGTGCGCTGTGGGTCCATACCCAGAAGGAGCCGCTGCAACCAAAAGGAAGACCTGCGCCAAAAAGACGCCGTCGCCTGGATTGAAGAACCTCCGTAAGAAACAACAACAACTAAGACCCTGCCATGGGTGCCTGATAGGTAGTCCCTTCCCCTCATTGTGTGTGTGGCCCTAGTAAAGGTAATGTAATTAATAATTGTACAATGTAAACCGCTCAGAGCCCTTAGGGGGTGAGCGGTCTATAAATTGAAAGTTAAATAAATAAAAATAAATAATTACTGGAGGTATACAGAGATCACAGGAAAAACAGAGGATTCTACCCCGGCTGGAATCACACAGATCCCAGCTTCACTTTCCGACATAAGGGCTTGCAGACCCCCTGGGCGAGGCAGAAGCCTTGCAATGGGTGTGGGGGGGTGTCTTTGCTGTGCACAGCCGACATTTGTTTTTCGCTGCTGTCGCCAGAGACACCACAGGGCAGTCCTCCACACGCTCTTTTCCACCAGCCTAGCCTGAGAGGATGGAAGAAGGGGTTGGAGAACAGATGGTCCCCAGCTACAGAACAAACACAGAAGCATGAATTGCCTGGAACGGGAAGCTGGAGGTGGAGAAAAACTCCCAAAAGTTAACAGAGCAGCATACGCAGCTGGAGGGGTTCCAGGTCGTCCAAAGTAAAACCCAAAATGGGAAAAAGTCACATAAAAGCTTTTATTAGGACCCACCAATATGCACTAGAACTGTGTTACCTTAGGGACCAATAAGATTTCCGGGGTATAAGCTTTCAAGAGGAAGCTTAGACCCTGGAAATCTTGATGGTCCCTACTGGACTTGAAACTTGCTCTTCTACTGCAGACCAACACAGTGATCCACCTGAAACTAGAACAGTGTGAAAGTTTTTGAGTTCTCCTGAACTCCTTATCAGTCTGGATTGCTGAAGGGGAAAGAGAAAAAGATGTCTCCGGCCATGATCTTGTAAGCCTCCAGGGTAGAATGCTGAGCTTGTATGCAGATTTGAAATGGCGGTGGTGTCAGGTGCTAGACTCTTGGCCTTCTGGGAAGAAACAGCAGCCAAAAGGCTGGAAGCATCCCACGGAAAAGACAGGTGCCAGCAGCTGATCCAATAGGCTCTCTAGCAGCAAACGCAACCCTTTGAAGGCTGAGAGCAGAGGAAAGACACTGGATTGATTCTGGAAAGTTTATCAGATGTACAAGATGGAAGATAAACTGCATAATGCTACCTTATGCTCGCGGGGGGGAGGGGGGACAACGATAAGCAGTCTTTTCCATAGTTCTTTCCCTCCACTTGATGGCACTTTTCTTTTCTATCCTGCTTGTCTCACAGTCAACAGGACTCATCCTATCAGCTAATCTGGCAGTGAAAAACTCCCATCAAAGCACAGCTGATTTACAGTGACCCCATAGAGTTCTCAAGGCAAGAGACATTCAGAGGGGTATCGCCATTGCCTGCCGCTGCATAGCAACCCTGGAGTTCCTTGGTGGTCTCCCTTCTAAGTACTAACCGGGGCTGACCCTGCTTAGTCTCCGAAACCTGATGGGAACAGGCTAGTTGGAGCCACCCAGGACAGGCCATCAGGTCATTTTACACTGGCAATGACCCAAATCGGTTTTCAGAGGCATAGCCATGAATAGTCCTACGGGGTACATTTGAGCAAAGAACATTTTGCGAAAATCTTATTTGTGACAATGAAGGGAAACATTCAGACCTTGGTCCACAGCAACATGGGCCAGGAAATGCAGTCAGACCCAAAAGAAATATGCAACTAGGGTATTCACTAGTAGAGCCAGTTTGGTGTAGTGGCTAAGTGCGCGGACTCTAATCTGGGAGAACCAGGTTTGATTCCCCACTCCTCCACTTGCACCTAGCTGGATGACCTTGGGCAAGCCGTAGCTCTGATAAGAGCTGTCCTTGAAAAAGATCAGTTTCTGTCAGAGCTCTCTCAGCCCCACCTATCTCACAGGGTATCTGTTGTGGGGAGGGGAAGGGAAAAGGAGTTTGTCAGCCGCTCTGAGACACCTTTGGGTAGTGAAGAGCAGGATATAAATCTAATCTCCTCCTCTTCTTCTTCTATATTTTCCCATGATCTAAGCATACACTGGTGAATGCTGGCCATTATTACTCCTTGGAAAATTTCTATCCCCACCCCCCAACAGATCAAGTGCTAACCAGTCCCGACCCTGTTTAGTTCCCGAGAGCTGATGTGATCGGGCCAACCTGGGCCTTCCAGGTCAGGGTCAACACACATTACACATGATGAAATCAACATATTTCACCACATTTAGAAGGAGGAATGAAAGCCTTTAGGTAAAAGCCTAGGACAGGAGGGGGGGAACTAAGTGGAAATCCTCTGGAAGACTGCATTTTTTAAAATTGTGGAATATATATATATTTTTAATTCTTTTGCCATGGAAGCTTGAGAGGGGAGATGAGAAAGGAGAAAGACTTGCTAATAAAAGGAAAAAATGGGGCAGCAATTACAACATAGCAGCCCAGACACAAATCAGGACTTGCTCAGTAGCAATCTTGCTTCGATCACAAGGTACACAGGAAACTTTATGCGTGCACGTGCACACCCTCCACCACACAGGGGAGGGGTAATACTTGCCTAACCTTAGTCATAAGAACTGCGATAATACACGTGAAGCATTTTGGACACTCTCACTTCCTGAAGAATTATCCATCTTTATTATTAACAGTATAGGTCATGGGAACTGTGCTCCTTTCATGGCACAGAACTTATTTTACTGGGTTCAGGGAGATACGGTAAAGTTTTGCATCTTGAACATACCAGTACTTTTCTCCAATGTGCTGTATTTGCAAACACCTGTAGATCTATGCTGTTACCAAGCAGCTCACAGAATGTAATCAATGCAGGACTCCTGCTGGAGGCTTACGAAAAAGATCAGATGTGCTCTTTGCATCAGGGCAGATTCCCGCATGTGCCATAAAACATACAAAATCTGACTTGAATTGCCGTCATATAAGCTGCAGATAAAGACCTACGGTCAATGCCAATTCAGCTGGAAACTTTATGGCTTGATTATGCTGCAATTGTGGTTTTCAAAAGCATCTGATAGCACATTAAAAAAATCAGCACACTGCCACGGTTGCTGCCTTGATGAAAGGTGTGTCTGCACTTAGCTCAACAAAATGCTTTCTGGATCACAGAACTGGTGGAAACTAGCCAGCCAGCAATGACGAGAATGATATCAGAACCAGCTGTTGAGTCCTCCCTATCAAAAGCTCTGCAGAAAAGATAAGTAGGGCGGCTGTTGCCTCTCTGTCTTACCTGGCGAAAAAGAACCCCGGTATCAGTGCAGTATCTGTTGGTCTGCTCTCCACCCTGGAGGAGGACAATGGACTTCCGTGGCACGTTGCTCTTTGCCCTCAGCCGATCGCACAGACGAGTTCTGTTCTGGGCAAAAAGTGCAGCTGGCACTTTCAAAGTTTCATTGCCAAGCCAAAAAAAGGGTCTAGAAAAGATGTTCAGAGGGGAAAGAGACAAATTAGTATTTCTATTCGAAATAATAGAGGAGGAGGAGGAGACGACTATGCAAAGGAGTCTCAAAGTGGCTTACAATCCCTTTCCCTTCCCTACAACAGACACCCTGTGAGGCAGGTGGGGCTGAGAGAGCTCTTTCGAGAACTGCTCCTGAGAGAACAGCCCTGAGAGAACTTGTGACTAATCCAAAATCACACCAGCAGCTACAAGTGGAGGAGCAGGGAATCACACCCGGTCTTCCCAGATTAAAGTCTGCACTCCTAAGCGCTACACCAAACTGGTTTATAAACCCAATGTATTCCTTTTCAGTCACCTCAGCTTATGCATAGGGTGTTGAAAGCATATCAAACAGGGGGCAGGAGGACTCAGTTAAATACCACACAGATCAGGACCCACCAATATTCTCTACAAAGGGTGCAAACTGTGTAAAACAGCATTGCTCAGGAGGGAACTTTTATAAAGGGCCGTATTACAAGGCAATTGTTGAGATGTTTAGGGAAGGGAGCAGCTGTATGGACTTTACTGTGCCTGTACATGTTATTTGTCCTCAGTACACTGTATTTCTGCTTTTGCAATAGCATTTACTGCTTGTTTAATATGTTGTTTGATACTTATGGGTTGCCCTTGCCACTTTTTAAAAGATTTCTGCAATCTAGTGCTTGTGAAATGGCTCATCCAACTGACTTCATTGACTTACACCGAGTAATCCTCCTTGAGTCTCAGTGAGCAAGGGAGACTGTGATAAACACGTAGAAAATTAAAAAAAAAAAGAGTCAAGAGTTCTGAGTTTCATCAAACACCCACAGAGGGAGATATCAAAGCAAAGGGGAGAAATGGTTCCGAGGGAAAGACACAATGGCACAATGCCGCCTCTAGTGCTCCACAAATCCCTTTTGGGAAACACTCTTGCAAGAACTGTGGGCCACATGTCTGTTCACAAAAGCTCTCTGCCTGGGTGTAACTGGCAGAGATGGGTTACGCTGGAATCAGCAGTGGCTTCCTCTCCTGGGCCCAACTTTGGAAAGGGGGCCAGGGCGAAGAGATGAAGGGCAGCTGGGAAGGAGCGGCACACACCACAAAAAGCAAGCAACCTGAGTCAGCTTCAGGCCGGAGACATCCACTGCAGTAGCAGCAGCTGCATCCTCAACATTATCACATCATATTGCCACTGAAGTTGTGGGGGGGGGGGTCTGGCCATGTGACTTCCCGGGAACCTTCCTGATAGGCTGCTGTCCTGGAGGGACACTGGCATCCCAGAACAAGTTGAGTGCTGCAGATATAGCTTGGAGACAGCCAGGAATTGGATCAAGGGGCATAAGCTCCCAGGCAGCACTGGAGACCACAACAAGGTGCACCTAAGCCCCTCACTCGATCTGAATGAAGTAGACCATAGAGGTTGCTCCTGGGTAGTCTGGACATTCTAATCCACCCTAGGGCATACAGCAGCCTGGAATCTCTCATCTGGCTGGCAAAGTGGAATGAGCTCCCGAAGGAGATCAGGGCCCTGCGCAATCTTTTACAGTTCCGCAGGGCCTGCAAGACGGAGCTCTTCCACCAGTCTTTCAATTAAGGAGCCGCCACCATTACAGAGCCCTGGCCACTATAAAGTCCTGGCCCTTGGGTTTGACATCTAGCCTACACTGCCTGTATATATCAAAAAGATCATGAGCTGAAGGATTGCTAGATCTTTGGGCACATTGTTAAAATACGCCATCGTAAATACTTAATTGGCCATCACCAGCACTCTATGAACTTGACTGCATAACGTGAAATGTGGATTTTAATTGTTATTTATGGGTCAACTTATGTTTTGACTGATGTGAGCCACTCTGAGCCTGCTTTGTGGGGAGGGCGGGGTACAAATTAAACCAACAAATAAATAATAAATAAAGTAAGAGCTCAATATTAATAAGATCTGTGGCTCTCCCTCAGTCAAATACCTGTAAGCATGTTGGCATACTGAGAGTGTGGCGTGGTGGTTAGTAACAGCAGAATTCTAGGAGCACTGGCTCTAATCTGGGAGAACCGGGTTTGATTCCCCACTCCTCCACATGCAGCTGCTGGTGTGACCTTGGGTCAGTCACAAGTTCTCTCAGAGCTGCCCTCTCCAGGGCAGTTCCCTCAGAGCTCTCTCAGCCTCACCTACCTCACAAGAATGTCTGTTATGGGGAAGGAAAAAGAGATTGTAGACCGCTCTGAGACTCCTTTGGGTAGTGAAGGGCAGGGTATAAATCCAATCTCCTCTTCTTCAGCTGCAGGTGTGGTGGTTAAAGGTTCCAGCTAGGACCTGGGAAAACCAGGTTCAAATCCCTACTCTGCCATGGAAGCTTTCTGGGGGACTTTGGACCAGTCATCCTCTCCATCTAACCTCCCTGACAGGGTGGCAGTGAGGCTGAGGCAGAGGAGAGGAGAAAGGTTGGAAGCCACTCTGGATCCCCACTGAGGAGAAAATCAAGGTACAAACATCCAAATAAATAAATACCACCTCTTCTTTTGCATAAATTATCCATCTCTTTTTTAAAAAAAACTATTTTGCATTCATTTACTCTGCTTTGCTAGCCACCAAGAAGGGTGTGAAACTACACGGGTCTACAGAGACAGTCGCTCAACCTGGCAGAGACAAAGTGGACTGGAGGCCCGGGGAAGGTTCCCCTGAGGTCAAGGCACTCTCTCTCCAGTCCTTGCTGTGGCCCCACTTCCTCCAGACCCCAACAGTAGCCAGCTGTATCAATAACCGCCTGACAGTCTCAATTTCGATTCATTCAGTAGAACTTCTTCGCAAAAGGGTCTCAGACAGTCACCGAAGGCCAACACGTACCAAACCACGAGCCGAGCTACGCTGGCGATGCCTTTGGCTGAGCACCGTTGCTAAGCTCAACCGTTGCTAAGATGAGGAAAATACATACATCAACTCGCATTAACCTGAGCGTGCTCAGTGCGATGTTCCCTCATGTATTAATTATTATATGGCTTTCTTCGCAAGCCGCAAGCCTGAAAGCTAACCTTTGCTTTTATAGCTGCAGAGAGCAAACTTCAGTGAGACTTCGGAGTCAGAAGTCCAAACAAGAGCACAAAGGAACTAATAACCTGTACAATTTTATGAAGCTAAAGATCAAACTGCTTAGATATGCAACGGCTTCGGGTCACCAACTTTTTTCTTCAAGGAAGCAAAAAAGAAGGGCCGTATTTCAGCAGTACAGCAAGACAAAGGCAAGGTAATTACCTAAGTTACTTGAGCTCGCTTCTTTCCCTTTTCACTTTTTTTGTCTTTTTTTTGGCGGGGGCCATGGCTCAGGGGCAGAAGAGGCACTTTTATTTATTTAAAACATTTATGTGCTACCTTTCCTACCAACAAAGGGGCCCCAACGTGGCAAACAATCATAACTATGTTAAAATACAATGTTTAAATCAAATATTTTAAAACGAATAAAACCTATCAACACCTAAACACACAAACTGGGAAGACAGGTCGGTGAGCGTTAGTGAGGGAACACCAAATGAAACCCAAAAGCCTTCACCCACTGGTGGAAGACACAACCCTGGGAGACATAAAAATCTTCCTGGGGAGGGAGTTCCAGAGTTTGGGTGTCACGAGGGACAAGGTTGCCACCCACCTAGTCTCAGAAGCACCCAAAACAGGCACTCGGAAGTTGGCCAGAGTGGTCAGGTGGGTTCATATTTGAGTAGGTGGACCGTCAGGTATGGTGGCTCCAAGCCATACAGAGCTTTAAAGGTCAATGCCAGCCACTGGAATTGGGCGCCAAACTAGATTGGGAGCCAGTGCAGTCATAACAAGACTGAAGTGATAACGCGGTTCCTGTAACCCTCTCCAATGGACATTCTGGCCACAACATTCTGTGCAGAGCACACAGGTCGGCCCTGTGCAGACCACACTGCAGTGGTCTGATCATGCTTTGCAAACAGATGTGAAAGACCTCCAGCTGAGTCCTGAAAAGCCACTGCCAGTTAGAGCAGGCCAGTGATCCCCAAAGTAGTCCTCATGGATGCCAGAGCGTGCACCAGTATATTTCCTAGTAGCACCCACTTCCTTCTTCCCCAAAGCACTTCTGTCCCAAGCAAAGAGTCAATCCTAGCTTTTCTGCCATCCTATTGGAGCAGGGGGACCTCCAGAAGAACCCAGGAGGCACCGATTTTGTATCTACAGGAAGCATCCATTCAGAAAGAGCTCCCTCTATCATTGGAACCTCCCTTCATTTGGTGGGACAGCCTAGCATCTATTGTGACTGGATGCTAGCGCCCCCCCATGGCAGCTGTTTTGTGATTGGTTCCATCCCACTGTTTTTGGTCATCAAGACCGCAGCTGACAATTTTAAACCACGGTTGACTGTAACTATGGTTAGTTTGTGAAACCCAGCTTCAGCTTACAGATGGTCCCTCTGTAACTGAAGGGCACAGTACCCTGGAATAAACCATGATGGAATAAACTATGCATTTGCATAGCACGTGAAACATAGCACAGTGCCCTGGAATTTGCATAGCACGTGAAACATAGCACAGTGCCCTGGAATAAACTATGCATTTGCACAGCACGTGAAACCAAAGTTAAAGACTTAAGCTGGTTAATAAACTTTGACTCAGTGTTAAGGCAGTCCTCCTGGCTTCTTTTGTGTAGGCGTTATTTTGCATGGTAAGCCCTCTTGATTGGGATGGCAGGAACACGGCATGTGAAGAAATGCATTTTTTCTTTGGAGGTTTGAAATGAGCAAAACCTTCACTATGAGTTTTAAAAGCTCCCCCCCCACCCCCGGTCTGCTCTCCCCGGGCAGAGAACAAGCAGGGAGGAGGAAGTCCGTCAATGGTTTTCCAGGCTCATCTCAGCTACCTCTTAAGAAATGCTAATAGGTCTAGCTAGGGAAAACAGGAGGGTCCAGACTTTCCCCCCCTTCCAAGCAGGGAACAGAGATTTGGAGGAATGAGAGAGATGTCAGGAAGGAACATTCTGGAGACTTC